TCCGGTGACGTTACCGGATTGCAATGTGGTGGAGTCTGAGAGGAGGAGGTTTGGCGAGACGGGACACCGGCGGCGGGTGAGGCACCGGAGACAGGCGGATTATGTGAGGATGCTGTCGATGGAGAAAGATAGTGGTTCACGGAAATTAAACTTTGGGTATGCTTTGCTGGAATAGATATTGGTTGGATACTAATGTTTATTTCATATGATAATTTGTCACAATCATAATATTAATTGGAATATGGAATCTTAGTAGTAAACGAATATAAAATTAACTAAATTAAGATTAAATTTGAGTTGAATCACCAAGTCGTTGTAGTATAGTGGTGAGTATTCCCGCCTGTCACGCGGGTGACCCGGGTTCGATCCCCGGCAACGGCGATAATTTTTATGCGAAAAATAATTGCTTCTCCATCTTATTTTAATTGACACCTTTTTTTTACCCCTATATATATATATATATATATATATATATATATATATATATATATATATATATAAAAGAACATTTTGGTTATATACACTATTCCCATCAAGCATTCAAACATATAAATAATATTTTTGGGAAGAGATATATATACTCTCAAGAATTATGAGATTTAAGATTCTCCTCAAACAACTCTCTCTCTCTTATTATACTATGATACAAACGAATCCATGTAAATGAAGCTTTTGAAAGCTGGTGCCAAGCTTCTGTTGAACAGCATACATTTGCTGTTGCTCATCACATCAGTTGGTAGGAGATCAAAGAGCATAAAAGCTGGTAGTATTTTGTCTTTGATTACTACTCTGGCTTGATGGTCACATAAAAACTCCATCAGCACATATCCCCCCATGCAAGGCTCCTACTCCCATCATTAGAACAGGAACCCAAAAGTTTAGTGCTAATCTCTCAGTTTTCAGATTGAATTAGCATGATGAATGCCACTTTGTTAATGTAAGTACTGTGGTATTCCATACCAAGTATGTTCAAACAGTGACCCAAGAGACTTGAAGACAAAGCTTGTTCCTAAGGATAACAGCTTAAGGCATCACTTGGCTTACCTAGTTTACCACTTGATTTGGATATCTAGGTTGCACAACAGCAACAAAAAATTGCAGTGAGTCATGCATTCTGGTGATTGAGAAGAATAGCAGAACTATGCATGACACTGTGGATATCAATCAAGCTATTTACATTTAATCTGGTGGCATCATTTGAATAGAAACCAAAAATATGCATACTATAGCAATTTCTCAAACTCAGAGTCTTTGTCTCTTCTTATGGTTGGATGCATGAGATTATAGCTTACTGACAGATATCATACAGTATATATATACTAAGGTTTTGTTGTTCTATCTAACTGGACTTATATTTTGTATTAATATAATATGAAATGTAATTGTGAAGCCAAAGCTTAGTTCTTATCATTAAACCTTGCATACTAGTAATTATTGTGAATCACCATTTTGTCTCTCTTTGTGCTGCAGTGAAGATAGCAAGTTAGAAACCAAATCATACCATGAAACAGATTCCAAATTGCAGGATCATACTGCAACAAGAGGGTAGAAATTAATTTCTTGATGATAATAATTTATGAATAACTATATTTATCATCTTTTATCAAAACCACTGAAGATAGAAACCCTAGAAGCAGATCATTTTCCATTTGTACAATTGTCCAAAATACTCCTGAGACTAGATAAAGCAAGAACTGCACATATTAATCAAGACTACAGTCTATCAAGCACTCCAAAGGGGAAATGTTTTCAGGGTTCATATGATATGATGTGCCAAAGAATGTAACACAACAGTTCTTTCAGTTGATGTGCATCATGAAGAGATCCTCAAACTGACAATGTTATCAATCTGAAGTCAATCAAGGAAGGCATTCCACATTTACTTTGAGTGAAAGAATTGACATATCTCCCTTCTTTTGAAGTTTGAACTTGATGACACCAATTCTCAACCAATTCTTACCTAACAACAACATTTATTATGCAAGTCAAATCTATGAAATCTGAGTTTTCTTCTACTTCTAGAAACAGTGCCATTGATGAACCAGAGAAGTGGTCAAAGCTGCAGCACAATTAAGACAGTCCTTTTCCACTGCAGTTCCTCTGTTTTGAATAAATTACTAGCTTGCTTCAGTATAATTTTACTCCACAAGATGTAAAGAATTGCTCATTTCAGGTTGACTTATTAATTGCTGATTGTGCTTAAGGATGTGTATAATAATAATCTGTTGAATTCTGAACAGAAAACATCTTAATCAGAGCAGCTTTTGTATATACAGGAAGGCTTTATCTGATGGAGACCTACTGAAGAGGATTCATTTATCTCATCCATGATTGCCAAGATAAGCCTTTTTGTGTTTCAACCTACCATAAAAAGAAAACAAAAGAATAAGATAACCCCATCAATGGGGAAGGAGACAAATAAAAAACAAGCTTGCTTTTGTTTTTGGCAACTGGAATATTCTAAGACTACCAATGAGTGACTATTGTTTCCAAGAGAATGACACATGAACTCAAGATTTTTTGCCAATCATGACTCTAAAATTGAGTGAATAGCATAAAAAATTACTTGCTTCAAAATTACATTTTTTTCACTCTTTAAAATTAAAGTAAAACAACTTTTGTTTACTTTTTTTTTTTTCTCCGACAGATCGGGTTTTACGGACCTGTAATATGTTTTTTCTAAACAATTTTTTAAAAGATGGTGGAGTAGATACTGAGAAGTAGCAGATTAAGAAGGATTTTGTCGGTAAACAACAAGTTCTCTTCCTAAAAAAAATGTTGTTTACAACAATAACATCATAACACTACCTGTAATGTTGAAGGTTGAAGCATTCTACAAAACAACCTGTAATGTAGGAAGTCACTGCTTCAACAGAATTTGCACACCACAACAAGAAACCAAGAAGAATTTGAAAGTCTATCAGTCTTTGTGTCACAAAATTACATCCTCTTGCTTTTGTTCAAACATATGCAAACTTCTTCTGATTGGACACAAGATCTGGATTTATTAAGATTAACATGTAACAGAATGATTCTGAATACCATGTCATGAGACAAGATTTCTATAGAAATGGCATTGATGCATTGTGAATCCCTTGTGTGTTTATTATTGCAAGTGGCCATAGCTTGGACCAGTAAGCATGATGGGCATTAAAAGACTCTTGTACTTAACAACTTGTTTGGTGAAGGGAGCCTAACTAAACACTGAGATCAAGGAGGAGGAAGGAATGCAGAGACTGCTTCCTCGTTTTATGATTCATGATGCTGATGGGTGACGACAATGGTGACCGAAAAGAAAAAGAAAAAAAAAAGATCTAATAAAATCTACAAAAGCTACTGAATTATCAAAGTTAGATGCCAAATGCTTGATTAATGGTGTGGCACAACTAACATGAAAATGACTCAAAATATTTCTGCAAAAAAGTGGCATGTTGCTTCATCCAAATACTAAACTCATCATAGTAATACCGGTCTCGGCTTGACAAATTAGTCAATTAGTTTTGATCATGGTGGTGGATTATAAAAGTCTCAGATTTGGTTGATGGCTGAGCTGAACAAGCAAGAAAGTGGTTGGAAAATTAAAGACTTTGCTGCTTCAAATCAAAGTACGGTCACTCTACATTCCTTATCCTGTTATTGTCTGGCACTGTTCTTCCCAGTGACATTCTTGAACTCCAACACATTAAGAAAAAACAGCCTTTCAAGATGGCTTCCATCGCTAGAACTCCTTAGCTATGAAATCTTTTTCTGTGGATAGAGCTTAGTTTTGCTCCAAAACATGCATGAATCTGAGCATCCATCATTAGACTGCTGCTCCTGCAAGATGCCTCCTGATCACTGTTCCTTCTCGGCCTCCAGCAAGTAGAAGTGATCAGAACTCTTTCTATCTATTATCTTAAGATTGGCATCACATAATGATCAGAACCATATGTATTCATCAAAGTCATCCCTTTCTTGCTCAACAATGCAAGGAATCTTGGGATTCAAACACCACACTATCTTACTCTGCCACACACACACACTCTCTCTCTGATTGGGCTGAGCTATTATGAATTATGGTGGGGGTGTCTCATGCTCATCCATTACAAAATGGTTTGTACTCGTAGTGATGCATGGAGGAGCTCAAGAGCCATGCATGCGTGCATAACAACACCAGGTCATGAAGGCATTCCCATCAAAGCAAGCAATGTCAAAGAATACTGCAAGTTGATCTCAGCCTGCAGAGATGACTGGTGGAGTATCTGTTGGTCATCTAGAGAATCCAACAGGAATTTGGATCTCTCACCCTTGCTCTTATTTTAATTAATTAGCTAATTATACATATAGTGAACACCCACCATCAGTAGTGTGATAGTAGTTTATAACGAACATACTCTTTGTATTGTTTTGAGCTAATTTCTAAGGAATTGTTTTACATTGTTTTGTGTTGATTGCAGATTATTTAACAACCATGCATTCTTATGTCACCAACATATATACATATATATGTATGTATGTAAATCTAGTGAAAAGGATGCGGCTGCATTAGGAACATTTAACTCGATCCTTGAACCCCAATAAAACTGCAGAGCAGTGGAACAGGTTGTTCTTCTGAGCCAATTCCCCTTGGAAAACAAATAGTAAGTTCTTTGACTGTAAACCCCTCTTCAAATGGCATGGCAAAACCTAATCCTCAGCTACTCACCTGCAATCGTGTCAGCAAACGTGGAATTCCACAAAGAAGGGCTACTTCTTGAACTCCCTCCCCAAAAAGCCCTTTTACTCCCCCACCTTCAAAGCTCCAATATTATAGCTATATGATAGCCATATATATATATATATACTAGGTAGAGAGTAATTTGATATGTCTGCATGCATGAACATATTAAAGTACGTGTATCGTTTCTAGCCAAAAAATACAAGCATGAATGTGTTTATACATCAATGTGGGCAAGCAAGTTCGAGAATATTTATTATTGATGTTGGTCACTGTTCTCCTTTTGTTTGTGTAAGCAGGAAACTCTATAAAATCCCATCACAACCCGAGCCGAAACAGAGTTCAGATTCCAACCCTTGTTTGTGTGGAATTCTCTCCACCATTAGGTTTGCTTCCATCTTTTTGTATATGCATGTCTTGTCAGCCAACTCAACAGTGGACTCCTTTGGATTACAGCAGCAATGGTGAAGTCTCCCAACCGGGACGAGACGGGAGGGGTAAAGAAGGGGCCGTGGACGCCGGAGGAGGACCGGAAGCTGGTGGAGTACGTGGAGAAGCACGGGCGCGGCAGCTGGCAGCGGATCCCCAAGATTGCCGGCCTCAACCGCTGCGGCAAGAGCTGCAGGCTGCGGTGGACCAACTACCTGCGCCCTGACATCAGGAGGGGCAAGTTCACGGAGGAGGAAGAGCAGCTAATCATCCACCTGCACTCCATGCTCGGAAACAAGTAAAGGCCGGCTACCTCCTCCGTCGACTCATCTCCCATCGGTCTTGATCGAACGCGTGCGTTTCTTGTTGGCATGCAGGTGGAGTTCGATCGCGACGAAGCTGCCCGGGAGGACGGACAACGAGATCAAGAACTACTGGAACACGCACCTGAGGAAGAAGCTCATCCGGATGGGTATCGATCCGGTGACGCATCGGCCGGCGACCAACCTCAATCTCCTAACCGGCCTCTCCAACCTGCTCTCGGCTGGTGGTCTCGGCGGCACCGCCAGCCACTTGGATAACGCTCTCAAGCTGCAGGCCGACGTCGCGCACCTGCTCAAGCTGCAGCTGGTGCAGAGCCTGATCCAGGTCTTAACCAGCAGCTACGGTACTCCAAACATGGACCTGATGAACCTCTTCCGGTCGCCTCCTCTCGGGAACCACCAACCGAGCGATCTCCTGCAGCTGAGCCGCCAGATCGAGGGCGGTCTCGGAGGCTCGCTCAGCCTGCAGAACTCGATTCCGATGATCCCAAACCTCTCGATCTTGAGTCACTACCTGAACAATATTGGATTGCAGCCTACACCCGAGCGCAGCTTTCCATCGGACGCGGCAGCAGTTACAGCATCAGATGCTTCAAGAACGGAGGAGCCGAGCGCGGAGATCAGCAACGTCAGTAGCACCAGTTCCATTCCGGCGTCGAGCTCGACCCATCCACTGGTTTCTGCCTCTTCCGAGACCAAGAACATTGACCTGGTCCAATCGAGTGATACCCTGTACACCAACACACTGGCCTCTGAATCGTTCGAGACCTGCTGGGACAACCTGATGAAGTCGGATAACCTCGACAGTCATTTTGGCTGGAAAGATATCATAGAGTAAGACTCTTAGATCTTCTTTTGCCTCTCTACCATACGACTTCGCATGCATAACATGTTCTTTCTTTCCTCGTCCGCTGCAGCCAGATGTCATGGCCTGATGCACCCTAGAGACCACAGGAGCTCATCGATCACACGAGGAAACCAGCAATATGCATCACCAGCGTACGTCACAGATAGCATCTCCAGCATCATTTTTTATGTACAAGCTGCTGTATATGTTCCGATAGATAAAGAATAAAAGGGGTTTCTTTTCTCATTCAGTGTATGTGAGATTTGAGATGCAACAATTTTTAGTTCTCGATCATCATACTTCTGTTGGGTGTGTGATCCGAGGAGCGAGTAGGATGCAGTAGCTGACAGCCAGAGACGTTTGGTGAGCTGCACGTAACCAAAAGACAGGAAGATATAGTTGGGTCGGAGTTGTGGTTGCATCTTACGTTAAGGAAATAAGAAGCTGAGAGGGGACGTTGTCATGCACGCAACAAGCTTTCGAGGTCATTGGCCGACAGGTTTGACTTTGATTAAAGGCGACAAGGAGACAGCCATTCAAGTTTCGGAGTTCCGAGACGTTGGGGTTAATGTTTTTGGCCTCAAAACATCCATCTTCAAAGTTATGTGGCCTTCTGTCCGTTGACCACATGAACAGGTCACCCGTTTGCTCGGTTACTTTAGCAACAAGCCGTTGACTTTACCATTAAGTACTCCTACCTAATCTCTTACCATGAAAATGATTTTGACTCGAGTCAGTAAACTGCACCCTAAACAGTAAGTAATATACCGAGTAGGACGTGATGAAGTGTCAGATTCCTGTTCGAGTAATCCGTCCCTTTAGAACTCGAGGAGACAGTGGTAGGAGCCTATAGAACATATTCCAAGAGATGAAGAAGATGATCCTTTTGTTGAAATTCGTGTTATCCATGCAATAAATAAATAAGGATATTATCTTGAGTTTATATTTTATGAGCCAATTTTATCGATTCTATTTTATTTTCTTAGTCATGTGATATTATTGTTTTGATTACTCAAAACATGTTGCTTACCACTGACTCATAAACATGCAATTAGAACAGAAACATGAATGGAAATACAAATTTAGGAAGAAGGATATGAAGGTTGTGGTAAGCTGAGAGAGAAGGGAAAGCCCGTTTCCACAGGGGGATAACATGATAGGAGCAAAGTAGGTGATCGACGCACCTGTAAGGAACCACCATTCACCTAATCTCAACCCTAAAGCTTCTCACGGTATTACTGCGTCATATATGTGGGGAAAGAAGATGTCGTGTGTTGGATGAACTCATTATTTCATTTGGAAGAACAACCAAGCATTCTTTAGCCTCTTAAAATTTGAAGTTGAGATATCGAGTACAATCCAAATTAACCTTGTCATCGAACTGGTTTTCTGTTCTTCAGATGTGAAGGTACTCATGCCCAATATTAATCGCAATAGGCCTTCTCCATCACAACATTAGTTATTATCTCAGTCCCTCATTTCTGATCAATGATGCTCAAAGGTAGTAAAATACGGTATGGTCTAATGTCCTCGTTTCTTCGCCCATTTCGTTATTATGTCACATATTCATTGCAACATAGGACGAATAAATACAAGTAAGAGATTAATATATCCATCTTCTCACCGGGGAAAGAGATAAATAGATATTCTTATAATAACTTAACTATTAGGATGATTATTTGAGAGTGATAGAATATTTTTTATACATATTATCTAAACTGGAATAAAGAAGAATTTTAAGCATTTAACTTCCATTCAAAAAAAAAAAAAAACAAATTAACTATTTCTAACAATGATAAAACGACATTTGAATTAAAGATGTCCATAAAAATATAAAAGTACCTTAAATATTTATCATATGAGTTTTAAAGGTTATCAATTCAGATTAGAGTTCTAATCAAAACCTAATTTACGAAAGATAATTAATTATATATATATGTTATAGAAATAAATAAAGTACATAATTTTCAAATTTATCCTTCGAGGTAGATGACCATGATGCGTGAGAAACAGGGTAATGTCATCTTTTAGAAAATAAAAAACACTATAGGGCTTGCCTAATTCTTATTATTCATAATCTCTTAAAAATTAATAAAATAATATTTTACTATTTACAATCTCTCTAATTTTATATTTTACCCTCTTTTTTCCTTCCTCGCCTACATAGACTATGTCCATTGATTCTCCCCAACACTCTAGTGGGTAGTTTGCAAAGATTCAGGATATAACATCTTTTAAGTTAATACAATTAATCTAGAAGATGGTGTCTCTTGGATTATTATAGAATATTTATGTAACTTTAAAAATAATTAAGAGGCGGAGAGAATAATAATAATAATAAAAAGTTTACGGGACTAAAGAGTGAAAATATTTTATTAGAATTAAATTATAAATTGAGGATATATATGTTTATTTATAAAGGAATAACTTAAGAATATTCAAAGTTCTTAATAGATTGTAAACAAAAATAAAAGGCTACAAATAGTAATCTTCAAAATAAAATAAAATAATATTTTATGCGAGAAAAAAAATAGAAACTTGAGATTTTTTAAAAAAATTCATGTGTAAATAAGTACAAACATAAGTGATTATATAAGAATACATTTGACCTCATAAAATTGCACATACACACGGACTAAGTAGGTGTTTAAATTGAATTGAAAAATTGAATCGAATTGGTTTGGTTCGAATTGATTCATCAATAATTTAGTTTGAAGACCATAAATAATTCTAGTTTGAGTGGATATTCCTCTTTGGTTCAATTATTTGATTCATTTTGAACCGAACCGATTATAATTTCAAAAATATAACTCAACCCAAAGATCCCAAAAACCCTAAAATCTCATCCTAAATTAGATGATTCTTTGGCTACATCCTTTTCTGAGTCTTGCTCTCTCCTCCTTAACCCCCTTTTTTTTTTCATCATTCTTCGTTAATAATTTTTTTTTGTGATTTGTATGAATTTCTTTCTTACATCCAGGTATGTGCATGCATGCATAAACATATGACATGTTGTTGGGAAAAACCTGAAGCAGAATAATTCTTTTCTCTCTTTGTGTATCAAAATAAGTTCCTCATCAAAATATCAACTTGATATCAAAATGTAAATATCAATCAGTATAAACAATAGAGTAATTAATCAATCACACAGTTGGACCAAATCTTTTAATATGGAAAACCTAATGTGGGAAAAATCACGGACCGTAGTCTACCTCAAACTTTCACTATCAATAATAATGATAACAAGTTTATAGTAAATCTTCTCTAGAATAACTAGAGGATCATAATAATATTAAGAACATAGATATTGGCTTTAGCATATCATTATATAGGATATATCTCCTCAAAAGAGAATTCTAGATCTCACAAAGTGGGTATAGCAAGAAAGTACCTTAGAGAGGATAAACTGTAGATCAACACTATTAAGATTGTAGAGTTTGCTGCAATGATTCTCCACATAAAATTTGGGCCAAAACTAATAATGTTTTGTCACGAACAAACTTCTAAACAGGATGTTTGATGTATGCTTATGTATATCCGTGTCTTTTGGTATATTCATACTTTGTACAGCATGTAGAGGGATGGTCGAAGGCTAAATAGTCTCATTTTAGTTGGGTTGATGGTCGTTTAGGCTTGTAAATAAAGGTTGTGTCATGTGGACATGTGTGAGAGATTTTCGGTCTGTAATGGACCATTTTGACCTTTTATTGTGTAACTATTCAGAGCTTGTAAGGTCTGTTTGTAATTTGCATTGTCTATGAAGTGTTTTCGGAAATGTTTGTTTGTGGATCTCGAATGAGGCGTTTTCTTTAACCCGTTCTCTCTTTTATGGGTCCTAAGGGACATGGGAGGCTTCGGGGAGGCTGACCTTTGTGGACGGACACGTAAGGGTACTGCACGACTTAGGCAAAATCAGCTAAGTCCGTGACAGTTTAACCATCGATCGTCAAATAAAAAACTCATAAACCTAATATTTCTCTCTCTTTTCTTTTCTTTTCTCTCTCTCTTTAGTCGTGTTTTGCCGTCATTCACACCATGTACGAAAAAAACTTTCCTCTCTCGGTGTTTTATCTTATCTCATATTTTTCTTTTTTTAATTGTTGATTTGGGTTCAATAGGCCCAATTGTCCAACCCACGTATGGGCTGGACCCAACACATGTATTGTTTAAAAAAAAAATACAAGCATGCATTTGTTTATCCATTAGTGAGGGCAAGCAAGTACGATAATAATTATTGTTGATGTTGGTCACTGTTCTCCTTTTGTTAGTGTAAGCAAGAGACTATAAAATCCCATCAGAACCTGAGCCGAAACAGAGTTCAGATTCCAACCCTTGTTTTTGTGGATTTCTCTCCACCATTAGGTTTGCTTTCATCTTTTTGTATATGCATGTGTTGTTAGCCAACTCAACAGTGGACTCCTTTGGATTAGGATGTTAGAATATGTGGCCCTTTTATAATTGAATAAGATATATAATAGAATAACTAATTGGGTTCCGTTCAGATATTTTCGCCAATAGACTAAGTCCACTACGGAACGATTCCTCGGAGATATCCTTGATGGGAGGAAATCTTCTGAGATCTCATCGTAGACCCTCTGCTCTCGCCTATAAAAGGATAGGATCTCTAGGGGTTGAGGGTATGTGTGTTAGAGCGTCATAACGTTGACATGTATAGACGCACCTCTCCGTTGAGGGATTCAGTTATTCTCCTCGACTCTCTCCCCAAAACCCTCTCCCCAAATCCATCAATCTGTGTAGATCCTGTGAAAGGATAGGAAGAGAGGAGAAAGGGTCTACTCTCCGTACTCCCTGCAGATTCCGCAGCGCGATCGAATTAAAGACGGAGCTTAGCAGATCAAACAAGATCTCTGAACGGATGGCATTAAAAGGTACGCATCGTATAATTAGATCTATGCATTGATTTCAATCCTGGCATTTAGGTTATTTCCGCATTATTGACATAGCATAATTACAGATCTTTATGCTTATAATTGGTATCAGAGCCAGGTTACGATCTTTATG